AGAGGGGTCTTCTTCGTTGTTGTACTGCTTTCGCCGAGGGGTCCACCGAGAGGCGGTGGGTGATGACCCTTCGGCTGATTCCCGGCATGTCCTCCGGCCCCCATGCAAAGACAGTGGAGTAGGCGCGGAGGGCGTCGGTGATACCGGTCTTGAGATCTTCAGGGAGCTGGGCTCCAATCTTCACGACTCTCTCCGGCTGGGCCGGATCGAGCGCAAAGTCTTCCACGTCCTCGGCGGGTTCAGCCCTCGGCCTTTTTTCTTCTTGATCGATGGTTCCGGTGATGGTGTCAACACGGAATTCCGTCTTGCTTACCTTCTTAGTGACCTGAAGATAGCAGGCGCGGGCGATCTTCTGATTCCCCCGGGAGTAGCCAATGCCCCCCTTGGCGGGGAACTTGAGGCAGAGGTGCCTCATGGAGATGATGGCCTCGAGGTCCTCGAGGGCTGGCCGGCCGAGGATGATGTTGTGGGCGCAGTCGATGTTGACAACGACGAACTCCACTTCGAGCTGGGCTCTATGGAGCCCGTCGCCGAAGATCACCGGGAGGGTTATTACCCCCTCGGAATCAATAGTATCGCCGGTGAAGCCGGCAAGAGGGGTCTTAATGGGCCGAAGGGACCCCCTCTCCAGATGCAGCTCTCTGAAGGTGCTGAGGTACATTACATTGACGGAGCTGCCTGTGTCAATGTAAGTTCGGTGAATGATGGTGTCGTTTATCTCCGTCCGAATCACCAAGGCATCCCTGTGAGGAGAAGAAGTAGGAGGGAGATCTGCGTTGGTGAAGGTGATGGGTTCCTCCCTCAGTCGCTTTACTGGGGGCATATGAGTGACTTCCCCCACGTAAAGCGATTGAGCCCACTTCTTTCGCTGGCTGGTGGAATCGCCCCCCGTGTTGCCACCGGTGATCATGAGGATGTGGCGTTTTTTCTCCTGGTAGTGGGGGTACTCCTCCTCCTCTTCTTCCAAGTTTCCGATCTCCCTCTTCTTGCCGAGGGTGATGGTGTTCGGGTTCACCCAGGCGTTCACCTTTGTGTGGTGCCCTCGGGGAGGTCCCTGATGAGAAGGTCCCTCCTGCCGAGGGCTCTGAACAAACTGGGACAGGTGCCCTGCTTGTATTAACCTCTCGATGGCCGTCTTTAGCTGATGGCAGTCATCGGTCCTGTGCCCCTGGTGCCGATGGAAGCGACAGTATGGGAATTGAGGGTTGATAGCATGTACCTCCGGGGGGGTGCGAGAGTCGCGCTCAACGAGGCCCCTCTCCTCGGCAAAATCGAGGATGATGCTGACGGGGTGCGTCAATGGTGTCCGGGGGCGGTCCAGGAGAATGGGCTGCGCCCAAGTCTTAGGGTTGCTCTTGTAACCTCCCCCGGGCTTGGCTTGGCCTTGCCGAGGGCGGTCATCAGAGGGTCCTGAAGGTTTGGGGTGATTAGGAGGAGCCCCCGGCCCTCGGTTGTGTTTGTTGTCAGCCCTCGGGGGCTGCTGATCCGAATGCTGGTGGTATTTCTCCACCTCCTCGGCCTCAGCATATCGGTCCCCCCGCTGCAAAGCCCTTATGTAGTCGCGGGGGGTTCAATGATGAGGCTCCTTGAAAAGTTGCCGGTGCGGAGGACGGTTTGTAGGAGGGCCAGGAGGGTCCCATCATCAGCACCGTCGACCTTGTCGGCCTCCGTCCTCCAGCGCTCCAGGAACTCCCGAAGGGTCTCATCCCTCCTCTGGCGTATGGTTAGGAGGTGGGAGAAGTGCTTCCTTGTGCGACGCCTCCCGGCAAATTGTGTCAAGAATCGCTGGGCGAGTTCTTGCCATGAATCAATGCAGCCCTCGGGCAGTCTGTTGAACCATTCGTATGCCGGCCCTCTAAGGTGGAGAGGAACCAACGACACAAATATTCGTCTGACGCCCCTACCATCATCATGCTATTCTGGTATTTGCTGTAGTGTTCCTGGGGGTCCGTTTTCCCGTTGTAGGGCTGTATGTGTTGCCCTCGGTACTTTTCCGGGATCCGGGCCGCCAATACCCTTGGGGTAAATGGCGTCCGAGTCCGGAGCTGGATGACGGGTTCTCCGGAGCCCTCGGCCACCTTCTTCTGTAATTCCTCCATTTTGGCCATCATGGCCTCGTATTTGAGGTCTGAGTGAGGGATGGAGGTGGTGGCGTGAGCTTTGTTGGACTCCATTTCGTCAAGCCGGCGTTGGAGGGCCGCAATAATCTCGTCCCGGGGATCCTTCGGGAGGGTCTCCGCCCCCTGCGAACGAACCCGGGCCGAGTGGGCCTGATTGATCTGGTGGCGAGCATCATTGGCATGAAGGGGTGCCTTGCCTTTGTCCCGAGGGGGACACTCCTCGTCTGCCCTCGAGACAGACCCTCCACTTTCCTGAGGCCTTTGGAGTGCCTTTCCTCCGAGGCGGTCTTTGACCCCTCGGCGGTCTGGCCCTCCTCCGAGCCGGTTGAGGGCGGAAGTGCGGGGCCTCTCCCTGTTGTCATTGTGGCGATCCCGAGACTGTACTTCCTGGGAGGACGTGTCCTGGGCCACTACCCCTTCGTCGTTCCTCACCCGAGGGGTGGGATTTCCGAAGGGGTGTGGCGGAGGGGGAAGTATGATGTTTTCCCCAACCTGGGGGTGAGCCGGAGCCAGGGTGCCGAAGGCACCCGAGTTCTGAGTGAGCGTTTGGATGAAGGCGGAGAGCGCCGATTGTACGTCGATGGTGAGAACCGGAGGGCTGACTTGGTCATCGCTCCGGTTTTTCTTCTTGGCCTCGATGCCGAGGCGGGCATCGGGGGTATTTTGTTGGATCTGAAGGCGTAGGTCGACAGCCGCCTGTTCCAGCCCAGCGATGACACCGCCCTCGGGAGCCCTGTGAGAGGCTTCGGGGGCGTTGACGTCGCCGAGGGCCAGGTTCTTGTCTTCTACGTTCTTTGAGTTGGCACGTGTTGTTCTCACCATTTTTGGTAGAGGGCTAGTGTTTGGCGAAAGGGGGAGGGTTTCTTACTTGATCGTTCGACCTCTCAACGAGAGCACCAAATGATGGATAGTCTACTCGGGGGTATATATCCGGAGGGTTATTGCGGGGAATAACTTAGAGAGAAGTCAGAGCACAAGTAAGTAAGAGAGAGAGAGTGTACTATAAATGCGGGGCGTTTTCAGCGTGGTTACAAATGAGGAAATGGGGTGCTATTTATAGTAGCAATAAATGCCGGACAGGGACACGTGTCAAGCGCTCATTGGCCGAGGGGTCACCTCAACTGGTTGGCGCTGGCAGCCGCATGTGGCCGCATTTAATGCGGCTGTTGGATGGGACGTCTGTGCAGGGTACGGTGATCTGTACGCATGTGAGGCGGATATCTTGTCGAGTGAGATGCCTTCGACTATAGAGCAGTAGCCGAGGGCTCCTCCAACCGATGGCACCCTGGTGCCGAGGGCTCACAGTGTCGAGGGCTACTGTTTTCGCCGTTTTCTCCCAGTTTCTTAATTTGCTTGAGAAACCCGTTCTGTGAGAGTTTAGAGCCTTCGGCCAGGGGGCCGAAGGCACCCCTGGCGCGTAGTGCGGGCTGCTTGGTACTCTGGGCGCTGTGATTTGGGCCTGTTGGGCCTTCGCTGGAGTAGTAGGAGTATGTGGGCCGGGGGTTCCCGGGCCAGATACTCCATCAACATGTAAGATACTCCATCTGCCCCCTATTATTGAGACAGAAGGAAATGCTATGAGTTTTAAGAAAAGTAGAATTGTGTGGTTGATAATAAATTGATAAAGTGGAAATAAAGTAAGAATGAATTAGAACCACACAAATGTTACCAAATATGATGTGAAACAATAATAGGGGACATCCAAAATGGCAAAATGGGACAATTATAGGGGGACAAATGGAGTATTTGTTAAAGATACACTAACTCATAAGGAGTATAAAATTATTAAATAAATACTCTACCACGTACCTCCAAATTATCGTTTCCATTTAAAATTGTAAATATGTATTTAAAGTTATTTTTCCCTCTACATAAACATCAATCACATAATTTTTAGTTTCATAATCCGTATTTCACATGAAAGTCAAATATGATCAAGTTTTATAAGGGGTATCAATTATTATCGTTGTAGTTTATACTCCGTACAATGTTTATATCCCGATTTATCGCGCTTAAATATAATGCAGTGTTCAATTTTTAGATTTGAAAATTAGAACGTTCCATTTTTCTAACTTTAGAACTCGTTTGGTAACTCTGAAATTAGCTGAATCGACTGATAATGCTGAAGTTTACGAAGCTCTCACTAAATTGCCTAATTCTGCTTATTTATGAAAAAAAATATTTAAAACATTTATATTAATAAAATAAAAAAAATTATACTCATGAAAAATAGCTTAAATGATCATCTACAGTACTTTCCGGCCAATACAACAAAAAGTAACTATAATATCACTTTTTTCTTATTATTACACAATTCAGCTATTGTAGAAAATCATTTTGACTATTTTTCATATAAAATTTTAATAATTATTCATACTTCGGCAAAATTAGCCAATCCAATCAGACTTTTATAAATTAATGAATGAATGAATGAATTAATTAATTAACACTAAGTTTAAATAATTAACGAAGAAATAACATTGTGAACCCGTTTGGTAGCATGAAAATCGGCTGATTTGGCTGATCCTGCTGAAATTTATGAAGTTCTTGCTGAAGTGGCTGTATTGGCTGATTCTGGTGATTTAAGAAAAAAATATTTTCAAAATATATTTTATTAATAAAATAAATAAAAAATTATATGTAAAAATAGCTAAAATGATCATCTACAGTAACTTCAGCCAATACAGCCACAAAAGTAACTTCAACCTTACTTTTTCTGCTTATTACACAATTCAACGCGTAAAAGTAAAAGTTACGTGTTTGGTGAAAAAGTTGGCCGATAGGCATGATAAGCCGAAAAATAGTGTTGCCAAAAGGCCTACGTGCTCTCTAATGAGCAAGTAACGTGTACTTTAAAATTTCTGTAGTAGTATTAGGTAGTTGAAGCCCAAGAAAAAATAGAAGCCCTCTGATTTTTAAACACCATCCCTCAATTGCCCCACCCTCTCACTGTCAGCTCTCTGCAAGCGAATAAACAGGGGACGGACGACCGACGAGGAACTGCGACCACCGTCTAGGGCTGCGACTGCACCACACCTCGGCGCCTCCAGTCCGTTCCTTCGTCTCACTCGCTCAGTCGCTCACCACGCCACAGTTCGTCAATCGCCTAGGTAAGTTTATCTCTTTCAAATTATAAAGATGTTTTTCTTGACTGATTTGGATTATTGATCCCTGTTCACACTCAGATTATTTTTAGTAAATTAAATTCATATATTCAAAAACTACATTAAATCCGCTATAAAGTCTGATCAATAAAATTTAAGTTTGATAAAAAATTGATATATAAAATAAAAGATTAAGAGTAATTTAAGTTGACCACGCGAATAGTAACTATGAATATAAATATGGGACGGAGGGAGTATTAATCTTCTTGATTATTATGTGATATATTGCGATTGCATTTCTGATTTTAATTATTTATACTTATTAGTGCCATTACTCCATTACGCCTACTAAATTTTGATGAAATTTAACAACTTAGGTTATTATTTATGATTTTCTGTAGCTAATTGAAGAAGTACTTAAACTATTTTTTTAATTATATTTAACAAGTGGGTATAATATGTTATTACTTATTAGGTTATTAATTTAAATTCTTTAATTAATTTTACATGATTAGTGGAGGAATTCTAGCAGCTTGGCAGTAATTATTGTCCAAAGATTCAAAGAATGTTCCTTTTTAAATGAAATGTATTTTATCAATGAATACTTTTATTTTTACTATATTGTTCATAAGTAACTTGTACTTTAAAATAAATTATTAGTATTTTTTCACTATTATCATCTTTATATATGTTCTATTTCTATTTGTGTTGGAAAGGAAGGCCCAATTTTTTTTATTGCACGGGGTCTTCATATTCTCAGGCCCAGCCCTGCCTGTCTGCCTCACAACCCTCACTGCCTGAGTCTCTGAACGGATGAAGAGTGAAGACTGAACGCCTCAGGTAACTAATTTTCCGACTTTACAATTAAGAAATAAGTTTAAGCATGTTATTAGGTTTTAGGTTAATAACTGTAGTCCTTAACCCTAAATTTAAATTGAATTTTAACTGAAGTGCTAGTTGTGGTTAAATATGTCACTAGAGAGAATCAATGGTTTGGCATTGATATAAATAGAGTTTGAAACACTCCAAGAGATTGACATTCAAAGTTTGGAGATGACTTTGCATCTAAATACACTCGAAGAATGATTCTTTTTAAGTGAAATGTATTTTATTATTGAATAATTTTATTTTGACTATGTTCATTAGTAACTTATTTTTCAACACAAATTATCAGTAATTTACCACTATTATCATCTTAATTTATGTTCTATTTCTACTTGTGTTGAAAAGAAAGACCCAATTTCTACTTGTCTACTTTATTTTTATCCGTACCAAAGTAGATTACCCTCTCAATGTCAAAATTTGTTAAAGAATGAGTTGTAAAGATTATTTTTTAAAATTAAATGATGAAGTTCACATTAACTGATTAACATTTTCTAAAATCACATCCATTCAAAATACTACTCCGTATTAACCAGTTTTCTTCCAAAATAAGGCGTAACTAACACTCCCAAACTAATTTAATCCAAAAACTTAGTATTAAAAAGAAAACCCTCTGTCTCTTCTGTGATTGTTTGTTCGTCTGGTATTCTCTCACAGTCTCGCCTCCTTATGGCTCTGCTTTTTCTTCCGGGATTTGTACTTACCAAGTTACCATTTCAGACCTCCAGTAGGTTCCAAGACCATCCTCCATTACAGTGCAATTTTGAACTCTCGTGGGGGTGCTTTTTTGTCATTCTTTTCTATGGATTTTTTTTGCTGTTTGTTCCCATAGTTTATTATTTTCTGCTGATTCTTGGTTCTATTTTGAGTATGTTCAGTATATTTTGTCGCAGTCTGTGGATAGACAGTTCTATGCTGAAATATTGCCTTTCAAGTGTAGTACTTAGGATGTTTTTACTTGGACTGTAATTCCTCCCAGATCGGACCAGTTCAGACCAGACTTGGATAGTTATAAAAATACAAAGAAACCAGACCAGACCAGCAAATTAAAGTCCAAGTAAAAACATCCTTATTACTTTTAAGGCCTCTCATATTTAGCTTCTGTATAGCTATTCTCCCTTACCCTTTTTTGAAACTTGGAAGTCTTACGTTCATTAGAGTTACCATTTAAGAAAACTCTAGATTTTGGGGGTTTACTAGTTATGTGATATGATTCTAAGTTTCTAACTGTATTAATGTTAATAGAACCTATTTGTTTACTTTACTCCTTACATTGACTTATGATATTTAATTACAATTAATATATATGTAATTTATTTACCTAATCTGCTATGCTTCAACTATTTATAGCAACAGTATCAGATATATTTATCCAGCGGCTTTAAGCTTCCTCCATAATCCGCTATCCGCTATTGATTACACAGCTCTTATTTTGTTGTCATCTTCAAAGGAGTGGCCTTTTTTCTTCTAAAACAGGATTTTTTGTGTTTTGTGTTAGTATATGCAGATAATACTAGTTAATCTGAGGTTCATCTTCATATAGACACCACCGCTGGAGTTCAGTCAGTCTTAATTGATCCCATTGGGAAGAAATGGGAGTGCAATTAGCAAGCGAGCAAGTAGTCATGCCAGATATTGAGAATGTTGACCTTTCTGACTCAGAATTGGTATATCATGTCAAGGATGCACTCAAATCTGCTATCAAGGTAAACATTTTTTTAAATGGATGGCAAAACTACTTGAAATTATATAAATATTCGTTCAGGACTACATATGCGGAATGTATCATTAGTTTCTATAGAAACCAATATGTTGTTTAACAGTTACCCCCCCCCCCCCCCCCCCCCCCCCCCGTGCTTCCTTTTATTGGATGCTATTAGCCTATTTATGTGTATGCATGTGTGTGCATTCTAAGAACAAAATTCTTAAGAGTAATTTTTTTCAAATTGATAGATGTTATAATTTGCACATTCCCTTTGTTTTTTATTTTTATTTTGGGGGTGGTGTAACACCCTAACACTGTAACAGATAGGGTGGGTATGTGGGATACTATGAATGTCTTATCTTTGCATTTATTGCCAGTATGCGTAGCTGCACCCATCCTCCTGTGCATAACAGACAACAAATTAATGGAGATTATTTATAAGTTGATATTGTTTTGGTGCACATCCCTTGACCAGATATGAACAAATTCATTGATCATAGGAAGTAACATTACACTAGTCACTGGGGCCTTCATAAGTCAATGGTTCCATTAGGGTCACTATCCTCTACTTGAGATTCTGTATAGTGACTTCAAAAGTGCACTATAGTGGGGTAGCAGAATGGCAGCAGGGGGGTACAAGAGCCTCTCTTGTGTAGTGCTGGCTATAGCGGAAATAGTTGCTGCTATAGTTAGTGTTATAATAGGGCTATTGAATATTTGAATCATCTTTTCTAGGATTAGGGGATTTTTTGATACTGTTTTTAAGAGGTTTTAAAATGGTAAAGCAGTTTTTTGGATTTTTTCTTCTTCTTTGATGACTAGAATTGCGGCTTAAAAAGCGACATACGAAGCAGAAAATCTTCGACGACCAGAGAATTTGCTTCTTATACTACATCGAACTCCATCTGTTCTTCTTCTTCTTCTACTTTCAACTTTTCTGCTCTTCTACAACCCAGTCTAGGAGCTTGCTGAATATGAATGAAGACTATTCCCATGTTTAAGCCCACATGAGATAACCTTTTTCCTTCTTGGCAGTCTTGAATGATATACTCCACTGTCCCACTATCCTTGTCCCATTTTACTTCTTCGTCCGTCTGACTAACTTTGTCCCTTACCATATTTGGTAATATTTGTGTGGTTGTAATTCATTCTTACTTTATTCACACAATACCAAATACATAACTCTACTTTTATTAATAACCGCACCACCCCAAGATACCTGTCACTTTAGGAATAAAAAATGTCATGACTGATGACTCATGAGCTTTGAGGTACATGTATCATTATTTGGGTTTGATATATATGGGGTACATAATTATATGCATACATATATTTATGTAGCATAAGAGTTATCTAAATAGCGGTCGTCCTGCTTTCTGCTATGACACTGTACTGCTATAGCGTTTTTGGGCTAGGCCACTATGCTCTGCTATGTAGGATAGTCAACAATTGATCTCTATGGTTGCTATGAGCTTGTTTGCTGTGAGTTTCATTTATTGTTCTCCATTAGCTGAACTTGTGTGGTTGTAGGGTGACATTGACAAGTATTCCCAGCTTGTCGGAGTTATGAGTCATGATCAACACCTAGTACCTGAAGAGGTGGCATTACTTGTGGTAATATTTTATTCTACACGTACTTTGATGAAAACCTAGTCCTTTTCATTAGTAATTCAGTTATCATGCATTTATCTGTTATCTTATATTTCTAATCAAATTGTATGGCAGACATGTTTAAAGGCTTTGTCAGGAACTGTCTCTTTTATACACATTGTTCATCATCGATCTCTTCTTTCTTCGGTAAGAATTAGTTATACATCTTGTTAACGGTTCCTATAAATATACATTTTTCCTTTTCTTTAAAATAATCTCATACGGATAGCCTACAGGTATTTAGAATGAGCATGTGGAACTATGGGACTGATGTGATGGATGCTCTGATGGAACTGTTGGTATCGTTGGTATGTTTTTTTATTGGGAATACTTGTCCTTTCATTCTTAGCACTTTGGCTCTTGGTGATCACTACTATATTTCAGGCAGCATCAAATGGAGACTATGTTGATTTATGCTTGGAAATGCTTGTAAGCAATTTTACACCACCCTCTACCTACCTACACTTGTTGAATCAACCAAGGGGCCAGGCAAAAAAGGGGCAAGTTCTAGATCATGTGCATTCTACGTTGAAAGATATTGCTGATTTAGTACCACTCTCACCTTTGAGACTTGAGAAAATAGTCAAGGAAAGAATGCCTAAGATGAACGGCCCTAATGCCTCTAAGGAATTTGTGAGTTCGCATACACTCTCCTTCGACCAATTTTTTCTTTACCCCTTTCTTTTGACTTGGTGTTTTTAGTACGAATATGATGTTTAATTGTTCATTAGTTGAAAACTTGCATGGATTTGGCAAAATGTTATTAACTAAATGATATTCAATAAACTTGAGCATTGTTTCAGTAATAATATTAATCTGTATCCAATGTACTTGATCAAAACGTTATTCTTTTTGGCATCCGTGACAAGAAAATGTATATAATCATTGCATGTGGTGAAGATATTATTATATGTTCATCTGTTGGTGCTAGATTGTGATCTATGCGGAGAACATGCTAAGGTTGGACTGTAGCCCACTCGGTGAACTTGTTGGGAGCACTATGCTTCTGGCAGTTGTGGACAGAATTGTAGAATTGGATGTAAGTTGTATCATGAGGAAGTGCTCAAACATAAATTCGTGCAAATATACAAGATAGATATATACATTAACAGTAACACTCACATTTCAGGTGTATATACCATGGGATTCTATTATGCAAGATGATTTTACGAAAGGAATTTTTGAAATTGAGCTAGAAGATCTACAGGGGCCCATGGATGATGATCAGCAGGATAGTTTTGAGGTAATAGTGCTTATACATATACATCGTCTTGAGTACTTGGTGCTTAAAGCATGCCTCCTTATCTGCATTTATTAACTTTTAATCTGCTTGCTTGTCGTTGCTCTTCAATCTTTACATGGCGTGAGTGTAATGTGAACTCGTGAAGTTCAAACCGTTGGTCGGTATGCGATGGATAAACATAAGATTCTTGCATGAATTTTTAGACCTGGATATCTGATACTCCCTCCTTCCCCAAACAAAACCTCAATTTGACGAGGCATGGAGGTTAAGAGAATGAAAAATGTGGATTGAAATTTAATTAGAGAGAGAGTTAACTGAAATTTAATCAGGATTTCTATGCGATCGAGGTATGCCGACTAGACTGAAAGGTAAATTTCATCGTACAGCAATTAGGCCGGCATTAATGTATGGCGTAGAGTGTTGGGCGGTGAAGCAATGCCACATTCAAAAGATGAGTGTGACAGAGATGCGTATGTTGCGTTGGATGTGTGGACATACCAGAAAAGACCGCCTGAGGAATGAGGTAATCAGACAAAAGGTGGGAGTAGCACCTATAGAAGATAAGATGCAGGAGTCTCGTTTGCGGTGGTTTGGGCATGTGCATAGAAGACCGAGTGATGCACCTGTTAAATGACTTGAGGGGTGGGGAGAAGAGTCAGAGAAGAGAGGGAGGGGAAGAGACCCAAACAGACTTGGATTAGAGTAATCAGAAATGATATGCGTCTTCTTGGGTTGGATGAAAGTATGGCTTTGGAGAGAGCAAAGTGGAGGGCGCACATCCATGTGGATGATTGATGTCTTTTCTACCTTTCCTCTCTTGTTTCTTTTATCGTTTATCTTCCTTATCTTTTTATGTTCTTATGTTATTTTTATCTTCTAGCTTTTTTATGCTCTTTTATTTTTTTCTTTTATCTTTGTCATATTGTTGTGTTATTGTTATCTTATATTTATTTATCTTTATTTTATTCATTTTATCTTACTTTTTTTTCCTTTTCTTGTCCGCCTTCTCTTTTTGTCATCGATATCATAGATCGATTCATGTTAGCCGACCCCAAATTCTTTTGGGATTAAGGCTTGGATGTTGTTGTAGAGAGTTAACATGAACCACAAATTGCTTTCCCTAGAAGGAAATGGGGGATACTTTTGGGACGGACTAAAACAGAAAGTGTGTGTTGTATTTATAAACAGAAGAGAGATTCTGATATATGCAAACATAAAGATTCATCCTCCATAGTACAAAACGTATAGGCCCTATGTAGTTATTAGTTATTATATTCTCTGACACCTAGAGTAAATACCGCTTTGCAGCTTGAAAGGGATATTTGGATAGACAGGTTTTTTGGAGACAGTGACAATGCTCAGAAGTTGGATAGTTTGATGGTGCTCACATTCGAGTACTTCATATCATGCAACGAAAGTGGACGGCTTTGTCAGGTACTTATTATCATCTCCATACCCCTGCCCCTTTCCTTGAGATCCTTTTGGTTCTTAATTTCTTGTGTATGTCTCCTGGCATCTTGCAGGTTTTTGATACACTTCTTCACTCGTTTCAAAAAACTGTTATGACTGCTTACAAGTCCAAATTTGCCCAGGTAAAACATGAACATATTCTGCTTTTGATGAATGTTGCATGTGTAAGTTTCTTTTTAAGAAATAAAAAGATTTATTAAGGGTGAGAGATTACACTATTGCTAGAAAGTAGAAAGCTAATGACCTAGAGAAAGCTAATGAAAAATAAATGTTAATGAAGGGAGAAAATTTAATCAAAATGATGCTGCGAAAACCTCAATTTCTCTGCAGGAGCTACGAAAAATACCCAAAAAACTTGACTCCCAAAAATTGCCGAAGCTTGACCCAGAAAGCTTGACTCTTCTCAGAAAATGGCCACAATACCGCCTAAAAAAACCAGTTTGCTGCTACAATTCCTTCATGAAGATTCAAGCCCGTTTGCAAGCCCCGACTGCAAAAACAAAAAAAACTTACAAGACAACACCACTCTTGATCTATATGCGTGCACTCCTTTGTGTATTGGAGGAGTTTCGATCTCAGATAACCGACACAGTAGCTTCTGATCTGAGGGGGATCTTCTTAAGGGTGTAGTAGCATAGGTCATGTGTGTGTGTGTGTGTGAGAGAGAGAGAGAGAGAGAGAGAGAGATTGTAAAGTTCAAGTTAAATGCATTTGATATTTTGATGGCAATGTGATCTGGCTAACGGTTGCTAGAAACTTACTCTCTCCATAAGAAATGATGTAATGGTTAAAATTTATTCATCACCTATGGTTGAATACTTGAGTTAATTCTTGATACTAATGAGAGAAAATCTGGAATGTTGAATTGATTCCAAAAAATGAAGTTGGCAAGTGAGTGGCATGACTGCATGAGTAATGTCATTAGGTCAGTTTGATTAGATCTTATACACACATGTATGTATTTGTGTACATACGTGCGTACACACATACATGCATATATATATATATATATATATGTATGTATATGTATTTATATAAGTATATATAAATTTGCATGTGTGCATGTGTATAATCTTCTTGCTATTTTGTAATTACAATTCATTATGTTTACAATCTTTCAGTTTGTTATGTTCTATGCTTGTTCACTTGATCCTGAGATCTGCGGCAAGAGGTTTGCGATCACACTAATTCATATATTTGAGACCGGTGTCCATGTAGAGTTGAGGTAAGACTGGGATTGTGTTATGTAACCTTTTGTTAGTCTTGTTGCCCTTTCCTCTAGCTCTCTCTCTCTATGTACACACACACACATATATATATTTTCTACTTTTTTGTTATTAAGTACGTGTTTGGTGCTTGCAGAATGAGTGCTGTTGCATATCTTGCTAGTTATATAGCACGTGCAAGGTTTTTGGACGTGCCATTTGTTGCCGACTGTTTGGAAAGGTACATCCATGTAATGTTCTTAGTCATAGCCTCATGGTGTAAGAAAAGATTTTAGGATATTTGATATTTTGTGTGGTATACTTTCTCTGTGATTTTTCAGACTGGTGAATTGGTGTTATAGTTATAGCAAAAGTAGGATCAGTGAAACTCTTCCAAATCCTAAAGCTCACAAGGTTTTTTATGCTGGATGTCAAGTAAGCCCTTGCTGCTTTTTTATTTTATTTTAATTTATTTTGTTTTATTTTAGACTTAAACTCTTAATCCATTTGGTTTGATTTTTTTGGCACAATAATGAGTGTATTAAGGGGATCTATTTAGTATCTTACTCTGTTTCTTTACAAAAACCTGCAATTGTTCCCATTATCACCCTGCATGTCTGTACCTTTAGATCCATATATTTTGGGTTCTGATCCCAATAAGCAATTGGTTTAAACACTAAAATCTGGGAGTTTTAAGTTGCAAATGCCCCTCGTGCCAGATCTGCAGTCTAGATCCAATCATGAACTGCAATTATAGTTGCTTATAAACTAATTACAGAGGACTTTTTATGCGTATGTATAACTATATATCGATTTAATTTTAATATCTAGGCAAGATCTTAGAATCTTGATAACATGGCTGTTTTCTTTTTCTCGGAAATATAAATTTGTGCAAAGGAGTGTCATCATTCCAAGTTCTTAAATATATAAATTTATTCTCTAATATTGCCTTTCCCCCCAAGTCAACCTACATCCACTAAGAAGCCTAAACATGTGACCACTGACCAGTAATTATGCATCCCCGCCATGTTTTCAAGTATTATTGGGGTGGAGTTGGAAATGATGCCCATTTTTAGCAATTGTTTGTAGTTGTTAATGGAATTCTCAATATCTTTTCTCATGTTTTTTTTCTTCTTTTGTTCAAGGGCATAATGTACATTATTTGCTTCCGAAGAGGATCCATTCATAGTTTGTTCCGTCACAAATCTAAACTCATGCGCATGCATATAGAGGATATCCTGAGGCATCGGCTAAGCCCTTTGATGGTAAATACTTTGATTACGCTAGTAATACTTTATTTTTATTTTTCTTGAAGAAATGGCTGTGTTTATGTTTTCCCTTTCATTTACCTGTCAAAACAAAAATAAAAAATATTGTTTGGATTTTATTTTCTCTTCTATTGTTTTTTAGAATTAAAAGAAATTTGACACATTTTATGTTTCAAACACATGTTGTAGATTTGACGCTGTTTTAATTCTTTTAAATCATTTACGGTTTGTATAAAGATTTTATATTTTCATAACAATTGTGGAGTAATAATCACAGTAGAGTATGATTCAGACCATATCTACCTAACCAGTAGATTTGAGGGGAAAAACATAAAAGAAACTTGAAAATTATGAAATAAAAAAATGAAAACAAAGAACATGAAACACTACCGAATAAACTCTGTTTCAATTTATCATATCAACATGTGACTGGATCATTCTTTGTTATAATCATCTGTTTTTAATCAGGTTTGCTTGCCGTCAATAGTGGAAGAGTTCCTTAGGGTAGCTGAATCCACATGCTTATTTAGTTTCCCTGACAATGATGCCCCTGTCGGTCTGCTTGAGTCTGAACTCTCGATTGCATTTGGTGGGAATCAGAGGCTCGATACATTTTTTCCATTTGATCCCTGCTTGCTAAAGAAGGCCGACAGGTTTGCCCATTTGTGAACTAACCTGGAAGAAACCAACACATTCAACATTTTTGCAGTTTGTACTTTGTACTAATGAGGATAAATGCTGGATAGTCCATTAATGGTGTGAAAGTCGTGTTTTCTTCCTTCAGTTCGTGTGTGGCATTTATGTCCTATATCATAAAAACATTAGACGAAGTAGGCATATTTTGCCATCAGAAATTGTTACGTGAAAATGAAAAAAATGCAAAAGTTTTCATGCAATGTTTGGAGGGTAACATTTTTAGTCCCAACTTTTGTCACTTTGAGTACTCTAATTATTGGTCAATATCACTTTTGGAACTCACCTTTGAATTTCCTCAGTTCTTCAATTATTGTGACAGTCGCTTTTGGTTCGTGTCTCTGAATTTTTGGTATACTTTAACAATAGTTAGAGTACTATAAATGGAAATGTTCTAAGGCGGGTACCACATGTGTGTCACAATGGTGTAAGTACAAAAAGTGAACATTCAAAGACGAATACCCAAAGTTGTCATTGACATAATAGTCACAGGGAGGGCTAAAAGTAACAAAACTTATTTTTAGTCCTAAAAACTTTTGTATTTAAATTTTTATTCTCATAGTTTCCATGTTTATATTTTGATGAAAGATTTGAGTTGTTACCAGGGAAACTATGGGATTATAATTGTCACTCCTAAGTCCTAAGAGTTGCAAAACTTGTCTAGCATTATTTTACCTGTGTAGTGCTTGTTTTCCTGATTATATTGTGGTGTTATTTTTTCTTAGATTCATTAGGCCAAACTTTGTATACTGGTCGATGGTACGAACTGCTAGTGATGAGGCTGAAGAAGATGAAAGCACGAGTGATGAAGATGATGTTGAAGTCTGCATTCCTGGGAATGCTATAGACATTGGTGATGGAACATCCAGAAGTCTTGACGGTGACAATGGGGGTGGTCTTGATAGCAGCCTTAGCAAGATGTCTATAACTCCTAAAAATATGTTGCTTCATCAACGCGTTGGTGTCGAAAGGGCCGGTTTGCTGATGCCATCTAGAATCCGACCTTGTCCCGAGTCTTTGTGATCAACCCGTTGATGTGCTTCTGTTATGGCAAAGAGGTAGTATTGTGCGTATGTAATTGTAGTTACTGATTATGAACTTGAATCAGTCATCAGTGTATCATTTAATGTTAAACCTATCATAAAATTAGTCCACGTGTAGTATGCCAGTTAAAAAATTTTGTTGCACTTGTTGACGAAGTTTCCATTTGTGGCCGATTTTGATCAAAATACAGTAAAGTTGGTCCCAGTTTGATTTAAAGACATTTGTCAAAGAAAGATTTTGGCTGATCTTGTTCAGTATTTTCTGTTTCTCCTACAAGCAGTTACGGTTTGAAAGCTTGAAACTTATAAAGAGTGGGTGGGAACTGGGAAAATACGATAATGAAATGATTTTATGTGAAGGGTGAAAAAGTGGCGTGGTCCACTTGTAAATATATTGTGACAATTGATAAAAACAAAACTAATAGAAAACTCGTAATAATGATATAATGAAATAATAAAAAATATATAATCAAAATTAAGGTGGTGAACAAATGCGATTTTATATTGTAGTGATTAGTATTCAATGTTACAGTCTAGTCACTAGTGAAGTACTGATTGCATTTCACTAATCTCAAATGTAATATGTATCGATATTACAATGTACAACATAAAATGTATACATTTAAATATGAATGAGGAAATTAGATGATGTATGAAAGATTCTGATCATGTTAGACTAGGAAGATTTTGATCAGGTTAAACTAGATTTTTTTTTTTGTGCCGGGAATATGATAAGATCATGTTTTAAAAATACAGATTAAAATGTTTAGATTATGTGAAATAATTTAATCAACTTTGGTATGATGTGTTTTTGCCTAATTTAAGTAAAAATATCCTTAAAATGACATTTGATTTCTATTAACCTTTTACTTATGGTTAGACATTGTACCTTTATTTTAATTTATGTACGTACCAGAATATATTCGGGTTTTGAACTCACGTTCATTCTATTCTATGTACATGATGTGCACTAGGGCTTGTAACGAGCTGAGCCTGAATACCCCGAGCTTGAGACCTAATTCAAAAATAGTGATGTTCGGGTTTGAGCACAAAGTTCGATGTGCTTTACAAATGAGGCTCACTACTTCACTAGATGTTCGATGTTCGAACTAAACGCTCCATAAGTTCGGTAAATATGTTCGATTTTAGAAGTGCGACTTATGCTCGTCAATATGTACCTAATTTGTCCTATAGTTTGAAGGTTGTTCGATAGACTCGAGCTCGAACTGAATACAATCATGCTCGAGCATGGTTCGAATATATATACATATTCGAACTTAAATTAAAACTCATCTCGATTCTCGTGTTCAAGCTCGAAGCTCGTTAGATTCAAAATCGAGTTCTAATAGTTCAATAAATTAAAAGTTCGGCTCGTTAACCGTTTAAATGTGTGCCATTGGAGTATGTGTACTACCTTAACTAGTACTCTCTCCGTCCCGAAATAAAGTTCCTAGTTTGACTTCATAGGTTTTTAGGAAGAATAGAAAATAAAGTTAGTTTTTCAAAAACGCCCCTAGATAATTAAATGGTATAGTACCCAAATGGGTATAATAAAGGGGGTAATTAATAGTGAAATGGTGGTAACACAGATCAATTCAATGAAGTGATGTGAACGTAAAAGGGTAAATGAATAATAAAAACTTACCAAATATAGAAAGAAGTTAAAATGAGAACTTTATTTTGGGACATTTGAAAAAGGAAAGGTGAAACTTCATTTGGGGCGGATGAAGTATATTACTTGTTTCGTTAGAGAGAGATTATTTCTTTCAAAAATAACCAAAGAATATAATAAAAAAACTTAATTTGAGAGATTCAATTGAAAAAAAATAAAACCTAATTAAAAATTCTAATGAAAAACCTAATTTGAGATATCAAATTACAAAATAATTTAAAATAACTTAACACTAAATAAAATAAAATATACTACGTAAATAAACTCCATGTTAGGTCCTAGCTCACCCCGAATTAAAATTTTAGAAAGAGTTTATTGAGATTTGGGATGAGTTAGGAGTCTGCCCACCGTACAGCAGGCTGTACGGTGAGTACCGTACAGCCGGTGGCATTTTTGTAATATAATATGAAAATCGCGAGATCTGTTATTTGAGCATTAGTGTACTGTTAATGAGCAATAGTCCAATTTTAATGAGTATTAAGAGTCTAATAATGAGCACCATGTTATTACAAGAAAGCCGATATCACAACTAAAAAAACGGTGACATTTTCGTAATTTCAGTGAAAATCACGGTTTTCGTTTGATGAGCATTAATACACTTTTAATGAGCATCAGACGTATTCTACTAAACATTAAGAGTCGAATAATGAGTATTGTGATATCAATTTCATATATTGTAATTCAATTTCTTTTTATTATTTTTTCTTTTATAAAAGCTCATTAAATTATATGTATAAACATTTCATATGAATTTCAATCAATATGCAAATCTAATATAATATGGTACTTTTGAAATATGCATTGATATGACATTTTAAAAATGAGTATAACATGACTACCAATTGAGTATACCAACTTATAAAATGAGTATAAGTTTTTCTAGTTGAGCGAGCTACAAAACATTTTCATTGAGAATCAAACATCCTGTTTTGAGTATTATAAACATGCAATTGAGTATCATGATCTATATATGCTCTTGTATCTATAATCAACTCCTACGTGAATATAATGTAATATATGGAGTAATAGTTTTCAAATATGCATTGATATAACATTTTAAAATGAGTATAACACCATTACAAAATGAGCATACATTAGTTTCCAAATGAGCAATGAACATCAAAACATGTTGGCTAAGCATCAGACCCCCTCTATTAAGTATCAAAAGCATACAATTGAGTATCATGATCTACTTCACACTTATATGACATTTTAAAATGAGCATAAAAACAGTACTTAATGAACAAACGTACTTTACAAAATGAGCATCGCAAAATACAAAAGCTCATTCGAATTCTCTAATGTAACATAGTAATAAAAAATATAGTAATTTTATATTAAAAGTAATTTATAGTCTTTCATTCTTGAATTACAAATATAATCAGGTTCTTTTTATAATGTTTAGTTATGATATCTGCATTAATATGACATTTTAAAATGAGCATAAAACCAATTTCAGATGAACATATGTAACTTACAAAATGAGTATCGAAAAATTCAGAAGCTCGTTTGAATTCTCTAATGTGTTCAAATGTTCATTTGTGTTCAAAAGTAGTTTATATAAAAAATAATTTATAATCTTTCATTCTCGAATTACAAATATAATCGGGTTCTTTTATAATGTTTTAACCATGCATATTTATTTTTATTTTATACTATACTCATTTTAGTATAACACAAAACTCACGTTAGTTATTAACACACACAGGGCCGGTGCTGGCGGTTTCAAGGTCTAGGGGCGAGTGATAAATAATAGGCCTACTTTTTTAAAAGGAAATTTTAAATTTATTCTCTACTCTTTTTCTCCTGTTTACTATATCCCATCTAGATTCATCCAATTTTATTTCATTTTAAAATTAATAAAAATTTAAATTTTTGTGGAAGAAATTTTTATACTATCACAAAATCACAAATCAATTTCATAACCAATTTTAACTAGAAAAGCTAAAATGCTTTCGCAATTTCACTATTTGACAAAATGATACTTAGTAATTAATACTCCAACAAATTTAAAATATAGAAACTTAAGATCAAACAACAATATGAACAAATTCACAATTTCAATACTTCACGATTCAACATGACAATAATCAATAAGTAAATCAACAACAAAAAATCTAAATTCGGTGATTAAAAGTAAAAAGTTATATGATCTGATGGAATATATGGACTCCGACCCCCCGGTCTGCCGAGTACTGGGCCTGGACAGCGGCCCACACACGTTTAGCGGATATCATTCATATTATTGTACATTATTATTATTATTCAGATGTTCTATATTAGTTGTTTGTACTATCAGTCCATTTATGTAACCGGATCTGTCAAGCCCATATTAGAGGTCCAGACCCATATTTTCCCTATATATACTCCTTTAGGAGGCTACACAACTCATACAACTCACAATTCATTCAACATTATACACATTCTTCTTCTCCATTACCCTTCTTGATCATTCTTCAATCTCTTCTTAGTGATAGGATATGGGTATCAATTATCCAACAATGGTGCTCTCGTTGAGAGGTTTGAACACATCAAGTGAGAAAACCTCCCAAAAACAACCAAAAAAATCTCCCAAATCACAAGAAATCCAGCAAGGAAGTAGTTGTGAAAATTCAAGAAAAAATGGAAAAGAAGAAAATCTGGACTTTCCCAGATCCGAGCCGCCGTCTTCTGCCACCGCCATACGCCTGAAGCTCGCTGCGCCAGTTCGAGTTCACCGCGATGTTCTGAGTGTTGTCGCTCCAGACCTCACACGTCCACCCGATCGCCGAATCTGTTCGAAAGATGGCCAGGGGATGCACTTCCGATCTCAAATGGGAGCATTTGCTGTATTTTCCGTCGCCGCTCGCATCACTGCGCACCGTTTTTTCCGTCGTCACCGTAGGTCGCCGTTACCCAGGCCGTTGAGTCGGTTGAAGCCGGTCTGCCGCTGCTCACCGCCCATTCCCGGATCTCGCTGTCGCGAAGTTGCTGCCAGGGTGCTATCCAGATCTCACAGCCACGGCTCCGGATCTCGCTACCACAACTCCAGATCCCACTGTCACGCCAGGTCCGTTGTAGCTCGACGGCCGCAGACACACAACTTTCTCGCGGAGCTCAAAACTCTTTTTATCCTCCGCCTAGTTTGCCATGCCTGTATTCCCCAAGCCGAGCTTGTTGAAGTCGACGATCTAAACCTCTCTTATCGCGATAACCAGGGACGACGAGGGTGGCCAAGATGCATGTGGGACTGTGGATCCGTAGACCAGCCAGGAGACATGCGCTCTTCAGCCAGGACGCATCAGCGACGGAGTGCCGAAGGTCAACCATGGCTGGTGTCTCTTCCTTCGATTTCCCTTAAGATCAAACAACAATATGAACAAATTCACAATTTCAATACTTCACGATTCAACATGACAATAATCAATAAGTAAATCAACAACAAAAAATCTAAATTCGGTGATTAAAAGTAAAAAGTTATATGATCATATAACTATTATGTAGTAACTAATAATATAGTATTTAAAAAAACATAGATTGGAGATTTAAGGGTGATGCACCACAGGTAGAGTAACAGAATTGTAGATTTGTACAAGTCTCCCATGTTTTGACAATTTGTTTACCATTCTTCTTACTCGGCCTAACTGGCTGGATGAAAATACTAGATAGGGCCAAAAATTCGGCCTATTCAATCTTACTTTAACACATAAATATTGGGCCTAATTTTCTTTTCATATTTTTTGGGCCTAGGGCCATCGCCCCTGCTGCCCTCCCCCAGGGCAGCCCCTGAACACACAATATTTAATAAACTAATAAATATTCATTTAAATTAAAAATAGAAAAATAAAGCATTAATACCTAAAATATTTTATAATGCATAAATAAAAAGAACTTAAGTTGGAAGTTTGATTGGAGAAAGAAAAAATAAACTAAAACATTTAATAATATTTTATATTACTCCGTATAAATTTTCATAATAATTGGATATATAACATCAAAGTAAGACATTTTTTACAACCAAGTAAAACATTTTTAAAGAAATAAAGAAAAACAAAGAAGAAACCAACCACCAGTGCACTAACGAAAAAATTAAAAGAAAAAGACAAAAGAAAAAGGTAAGGAATGATCAAGCAGAAAGAGAAGTCGGCGGAAGAAAGAAAAGCTTGCGAACTTATTAAGCCTGTGAAAATAACCGAACCAGCCTAATTATTACCCTGTAAACTACAATTAATTACCAGAATGCCGGCTGTACCATGCTCATGAGTTAGGGCCTAATATGACATTTATTTATTTTTCATTTTATTTAGTATCGAACTATACTAAATTATTTTTCAATTGCTTATCTCAAATTACATTTTCATTATAATTTTTAATGCAGTTCTTTTATCTTTAATTGAATATGTCAAATTAAGTGTTTAAATATGTTCTTTAATTATTCGAGGAAGTAATCACTACAAAAAATAATGGAATTCGTGTGTGTTTGATACGGATCTTTGGTGCGGATTTTCTGAAATTCAAAGGATTTGACACGGATTTTCTAAAATTCATAGGGGATTTGACACATGTACATCAAGTTCGTGCAAAACTTTGTGCCGATGTTGTTTTGTCACCAACTATTTGGCACGACACCATGCCAAAAATATGTTAAGATTCGTTCCAAATTCGATCAATCCGGGCCAAATCTCCAAATCTCTAAAGAGTACTACACAAGTTAAGTTAATATACTCCTGCAAAACCTAAAATTTATACATTTTCAATATTTACCAATGAGAACGTTTAAAATTTATACATTTTCAATATTTATAGACGAGAGCGTATAACAAGTGAACAATACTCCCTTCGGTTCTTAATTAACTTGACACTTTGACTTCACACATATTAAGAAAGTTTATTGTATAGTACACTGTTGCGACACTTTTTGACACTATTTGGCACTGTTTTGCACTGCTTTGGTGTAGATTTGTTTGTCAAATAAGGAAGTGTAAACTTAGCTGGAAGTCTGGGACATCCAAAAAAGGAAAGTTTAAACTTAAATAAGAATGGAAAGCAGTATATTTTAGTGTGCACATTGTATAAGCAGGCATTCTAGTACCTAGACTTTCTGCCTTTGTAAAGAAACAAATTAGGACTCCTGTATACTCGTCTCCATCTGACATGTATATTTACTCAAGTTTTTGTTGCATGGAAGTTAAAAGCAAGGGACGTTTCTTTCTTATGCAGCATTAAGAGTAGCGCCTCCATTGATGAAAGGGTGAAATTCCATGCCAGGCAATGACATGCACAAGTTCAAGGACAGAAATGGAGTGGCCGGAGAGTCTGCCGAAACATCAAACACCGCAATGGGACGAGGAGGTGGCTGCACATATGCAGTCTCCGTCGGAGAAATCAATGGCGTTGATGAAACCGGGTGGTGGTGGTGGTTGCCTTGAAGAGGAGGAGATGGGGGAGGCTCGCCCACTTTTCTATCTTCTTCCGATGGTGATGTTATGGTGGAAGACACCTCCACCTGTCATAAACAGTAGTACACACAACTTCAAGATGGGAATACATCAAATGCTTTCTTAATTAAGATTAGAACATAGCACAAATATAATAGATCACATTCTTTTCTTCCTAAAATAAGATCAATTTGTTCCTAATTAGAAAAGTTTAATACTACAGTTTCTCGTCCACTATTCACATGGTCAACTTAAATCATTCTTAATCTTTTACTTTATAAATCAATTTTTTATCAAATTTACATTTTTTATCAGGTTTTGTAGCGGTTTTAATGTAGTTTCTGAATATGTTAATTTTATTTACTAAAAATAATCAGAGTGTGAACAGGGATTAAGTTGCTTTATCATCAGTTAAACATCGTAAACCGTCAACGGGAACCTTCTAGCGGGACGGAGGGAGTACTTTTTTAGAATAAAAATGCAGCTTTTTATATTAAAATCGAGTAACCATACAAGACAACATCTAGACAATTATGACAGATCTGATCGTCAGTCCTAGGAATAGACATAGAATCAGCCACCTCATACAAAACAACCTCATTCACTAAACACAAACAGATAATTTTAAGCCTAAAACAACCGGAACCGAAACATCGCCTATCAAGCGTACTCCAAAAATCCAAAAATCCAAACTAAACCTACTCCAAAAATAAAAACAAGTACTACCGAATGAAAAATAAAATTGAAATAAATTTTTCCATAATATTCTTCCTGACATGAAGGTGGATCTCGAGGAAGACGAGCTCTATCAATGTCTACGCGCTCCAAAAGAAGACAAACAGAAACTCCTGACCTAATAAAGCTTGTTAGGACACCAAAACAACTCCCCACGTTGAGAGAGACAAACACCAATATAATAATCATCATCATTTTCATTTACCCCAGTGCCGCCGCAAAGGCTCCCACCTACGGTGGGGTAAGGGGGGGTCGGATGTACGCAGTCTTACCCCTGTACTAAAGCCCAGAGAGACTGTTTCCGGATGACACATAGTGAAAATCGCGTCCAAAACTGCATGGACTGACTGCTACTCCATAACAAAGAAGCGCAGACAGTTGAGTGAGTCATTTTGCTTTATTCCATCATAATCTCAAGCCAAAAAATAATGAATCTTTGGCTCCATTGCAAATGATGAAAAAACCAATATAATAATAATAATAATTATTATTATTATTATAATTATTATTATTATTATTATTATTATTACTACAAAAACCGCCTAATCATTCCTAAATCTCCAATAAATGAATAAATATGAAGTCAAAATATGAGTTAGGGAGTATTTTTGTTTGTCATATTGTTGATATCAAGAGATTCCATTCGAAACCATATGTGCAGAATCGCCACATTCAGTGGTTCTCAAAGACTCCGTATTATGGGTGGTCCCATGGTAAAATCATTGCTGCACCACTCATATATGATCCCATTCCCTCACTATCTTTTTTAGCGGTTGGTTAATACATAGTAACTTAGTGGTTGGGGTGATTATTATTAGTACGATAGTATAGAAACAATAATCATTTTTTTTGTAGGAAAATATGAAATTTTTAAAGAGTAAAAATGTCAATTTGATGGCATTTTCTAAAAAAATGTCAGTTGTAACAACCTAATTGTATTTACTCAAGCCATCAGAATCCTCCCAGAAGCCAAGGAAACCATCATAGTTCTAATCCTACCAGAGCAATTAAAAAATCCAAATGAGGAAGAAGGAGAAGCAAAGATACAACACAGATACAGATCAATGGAAAAGAAGAGAGAAGAAGACCCAAGAGCTTGGCACCACCACCACACCAGATTCAGAAGGGAAAAACAGAGGAGTGAGAGGAAGACGAGACCTGGTGGTCGCAGCTGTTGCTCGCCGGAGTTCGCTGTCGCTCACGGTTGACTAAATAGCACCGGTACAGAAACGGAAACGGGGACGAAAGCGGGGATGGGGAAACCTTATTCTCAAAAATTAAGAGTACGAGTACGGCTAGGAAACGTCCCACTAAAAACTAAAGTATTAGTAATAAAACCAGATACATCCATAGAGCTTATCTAAAAATGAAGAGAAAATAATTTTTTTAACAAGTACATTTTATTGGTAAAGTAATGGACTGAAAAGGCACAATAAAAATCACTTTATTCACTAAATTTTATACGGAGTACTTTTTAAGAAATTTATTTATTTAAATAAACTTTTTTAATGACTGAACAAAACAAAAGCAATAAAAAAAGAAAAGCAACTCAATCCACTAAACTTTATACGGAGTACTTTATTCACAGCCGCACACTCCCGCACAGTTTAATACTAGAGCCGACAAGCCGACAACTGCAATTGAAGGGCGAAGGGCGATTAACTGGCGGGCTGGCAGGGGCGGCTAAAATCGGCGAAGGCTGGTGGGCTGGCGGCTGCAATCGGAGAAGGGTAAAATTGAAAGAATGGTCTTATTTAGGGAATAGAAGTATATATTCCTATTTTAGAATTTCAGCAACAATTTAGTCCTATTTGAGACTATTTACCCTTTTCCTTATAATTAATAGAGGAATAAACTTCATCCCTTAAAACTGAAAGAATGGTCTTATTTAGGGAATAGAAGTATATATTCCTAATATATTACTACCTCCGTCCCTTAAAACTTTGCCAAAGTTGACCGGCACGGAGAATAATAAAGTAAAAACTGTGTGGTTGAGGTTTGTGCAGAGGAGAGAGAAATAACAGAAACCACAAAATAATTGATTAAAAAGGAAAGTGACAAAGTTTTTTGGGATGTCTCAAAAAGGAAAGATGGCAAAATTTTAAGGGACGGAGGGAGTAGTTAGCAGCTGACATAATCATACTTAAATAATTCAAAAAGCAACATTCAAAAGTATGATTATATTATAGAGTCGGGTTTAAGCATCAGGTAACTACTCCCTACTCCCTATTATACTAGCAAATATTGTGCTTTAGTTTACAAGGCTGATTCTGTCAGCTGCTTTATGATAGCTGTTTCTATTGGCTGTTTTGATTAGCTGATAGTATTAGCAGTTTGTAAGATCGTGTTTGATAAAAATGACGGTTTACAATCAGCTGATAACTTATCAAATGACATTTAAGGACATCAATTATTTTTTAATTGTGCACTTATATATATATACACACACACATATAGGGATGTTCAGGTCCGAACATTCCCCGTCCGAACATCGTCTGAACAACGGCGTTCGGGGCGGTTCCCGGTGGAATATTTTGATGAAATATTTATGATATGTTCTTCATTAAGTCTAGTTTTTCCATATCAAATTTCAGATCAAAATTCGATCGGGAAGGCATTCAAATAATTTTTTGAAGTTGACTGCATTTTTCTATGTATAATTTGACGCAGTCAACTTCAAAAAATAATTTGAAGGTCTTCCTGATCGAATTTTGAGCTGAAATTTGGTATGAAGAAACTAGACTTGATGAAGAACATACCATAAAAATTTCATCAAAAACTTTCATCGGGAACTGCCCCGAACGGCGTTGTTCGGACGGTGTTTGGACGGGGAATGTTCGGACGTGAACATTCCTCTCTCTCTATATATATATAGATAGAGTGAGAGTGAGAGAGAGAGAGAGAGAGAGAGAGAGAGAGAGAACTTATCATGTCCGAACGTTCGGACAGGAGGCACCATCCGAACACCGCCGTTCGGGGTGGTTCCCGGTGTAATTTTTTGATGAAATTTTTATGGTATGTTCTTCATCAAGTCTAGTTTATCCATAACAAATTTCAGCTCAAAATTCGATAGGGAAGACTTTAAAATGATTTTGTTAAGTTGACTGCGCCAAATTATGCATAGAAAAATGCAGTCAACTTCAAAAAAATCATTTGAAGGCCTTCCCGATCGAATTTTGAGGTGAAATTTGGTATGGATAAACTAGACTTGATGAAGAACATACCATAAAAATTTCATCAAAATATTCCACCGAGAACCACCCCGAACGGCGGTGTTCGGACGGTGCCTCCTGTCCGAACGTTCGGACATGAACATTCTTGTATATTATATATATATATATATATATATATATATATATATATACACACACACACACACACGTATCATACACTACTATGTTATGAGTATCAATACTTAAATCATTTTTATGAATTAAAAAATAAAAACGTAGCAGTATCTGGTGTGCGAGTTACTAGACAACCTCTATGTCCTGGCGGAGAAGGGAATTGATATCTTCCTTAGTATGCAGTGCTAAATATTTCAATTTTCAAAATTGTAAGAATCTTTTTCAAAATTGATATCTTCCTTGGTCTGGCATCTCCAAAGCTCCACACCGGGGAGTTTTACAAAATTGATATCTTCCTTGGCTTGGCATCTCCAAAATGCAGGTTTATGCATATATGCTAGTTCCAATTCTCACGCATATATATATGCATATATGCTTGAGTTTTACACATCATTACTACAGTTTAAAATTAAAGCAAAGAGATTGTATATACCTCGTAGGAAGCCTGCGTGAAATTGTAGGAAGGGAAATTTCAGAACTTGCGCGAAACCTGCGTGTATTTTTCCGGAGAAGCTTGGGAGAAAGACGAGAGCCAGCGAGAAAGAAAAGAATTTGGCTGAGGGTATCGCATGAATATTAAGATGGAAACGGGAAGGCCAACACCTAAACTCTAGGTTTATTGGCGGTTTCTAATAAAAGACCAAATTAAAAAGCTACTTTACCGAACACACACATCGTCTGATTGATCAAGTCAAAAGGCTAATATTGGTCAAATCAGACAAAAAATAGCTGATAGGCCATTAACCAAACACCCCCCATCTAAATTTCTCTAAACTGACTAGCCAAGTAAAAACAATTCCATCAATATTCTACTCTTATTTTAAACAATTTCTTTATAATTAGAATAAAACACGATGAATGATGAAAATCTATTAGAAGTGTAAAAATATATTAGGGATGAATGATATAACCATATTTTTAGTTGGATTGATTTTGATTTTAAAATAGATTAGATCAAACAAGACAAGATTTAAATAAAGGGAAAATTCTCGAAATATGAGTATAAACGTTTTAGAATTTCAAAATACGACTGTCATGTTTTTATTCCTTAAAGATGAATAATTACTGTCAAATTTAGAAAATACAGCTATGTTTAAAGTTTGGTACTGCCGAAACAAGGCAATAATTATTCTTATTTCAAAAATAAAAACATGGTAATCTTATTTTGAAATTTGAAAATGTTTTTACTTTTATTTAGGACAATTTTTCGTAAATAAATTACATTAGGCCATAGTGCCATACCATATCAAACTTGGTCGAACCGCGGCAAACTTCGATAATGATAACATACACTATAAATGGTAACAAACTAACAATTGTTGGGGCGGAGATGAGGAATTACCAGAGAGGTGATATCAAAGAGGCTGGATCTGTGACGGCGGTGGTTGGAATGTGTCCGTCGAAGGAAGTGTTTCTGAGCATGACTTGCCACTTGCGTGGGCGAGCGAGTTTTCACATAATTTCTGGAAATTTCTCTCCAGTTTCCCTTTCCAGCTTTCTCCAGTCCCCACAGGAACAGCTTGTGCTCTTCTTCTGTCCAGGCTACTCCTTCAATCATTCAATTCAACCATCTCGCAATTACTCATTCCACTTTAATTTGCACCAAAATTTCATGAGTAAAACAATTCAAAATTTCACGAGTAAACCAGAATTCAACAGTTCCGTCCAAAAGCGTCATGACCGAACAACTATTTCAAAACCCTAAAAGTGATCAAACCATCATTTTTGTTGAAACGCCATTTTCAAAACACACGTGAAATTGTTCAAAGTTCAATTCAGGAGTAAAATTTGTTTGAAATTTTAAAAAATATTTGATTAAATATTTGTCCAAATTTCAAACTAATACTTTATAAATAATTATATTTAAAATGTGCAGTATATATTATTAATAAAATAAGAAAATCATATGAAAAGTACTTAAATGGTCATCTAAAGTAACTTTAACTAATATCGTCAGAAAAATAACTTTAATCTTACTTTTTCTTATTATTACACAATTCACGAAAAAAAATTACTTATTCAATAAAGAAGTTGGCTGATAGGAAAAACATGATACCTCTTAATTTACTAAATGCTCCGTATATAGAAGTATATAGAAGTATGCATGTGATAGAAAAAAGAAAAGAGGGGAAGAGATTTAAAAAGTACTCCCTCCGTCCCTCTATTATTGGGACGGAAGGGAGTGATACGCCAATCAAGACAAAAGCAACTTTGTAATAAAGTAACCAACAAAAAAGCAAAAAATCAATCATACTAAAGCATATTTCTATTGACCTGTCATTAATTTTTTTTTACTTTCCAAATAAGTTATGAGACAGTAATAATGAGACATCCAAAAATGAAAAATTAGACAATTATAGATGATACAAGGAGTAGTAGAGTTTATGTATCTATCTTGCCTTTTCCATATTGATCGAATAAAATATGAATCATTCTTGGTGTACACAAATTGTACACCGTGTGTGTACACATGCATTTTGGATAAAATCTCGTTCTTTTTCAAACGAATTATATGTGTATACAGACAACTAAGAGGGTCAGAGAGTGTGTATATTTTGTGTACTACTTTTGCGTACAACTACGTATTTTTCTTAAAATATATCATACCTTTTCCATATTGATCTATTAAAATAGGGAGATTTCCCTAAATAGGACTAAATAAAAGCATAATTGTAACAAAAGTAGTTTAATTTTTAAAATCCCAAAATAGGACTAACTCTTCCTATTCTACTCTTTCCATTTTCCTTCCCAATAGGATTTTTTAAATGATCATTATAAAACATATAAAAATTTAAATAAAAAAATAAAAATCATAAAAAATAAATAAAAAATATACAGACCTCAACCAACACCTCAGCCACCTTCCAGCACCGCCACCTCCGATCGCCGGAAAAAAATTGCCAAGTTGGGGAAAAATGTCATCATGATGGCAATTTTGAAAAGAAAGTTGTATATTTTCAGAAAGTGAAAATGTCATTTTATGGCATTTTCAGAGAAATGTGGCATTTTTTACACAAAATGACATTCTTTTCCGGTGATTGGAGGTGGTGGTGCTGGGCGTGGAGGATGCAGAGGTAGTGGCCTACATATTTTTTAATATTTATTTGGGTATTTTATTTTATTCTTTTAGATTTTTTTCACTTTTTAAAAATATTTTGTATTTTTTATTTTTATTTTATTTTAATTTTTCCCGATTATTTTTTTAATTTATAAATATTTTTACTATTTTTATGTTTTTTATTATAAATAAAACTATGATTTTTTGTATGAACAAATACGAGTAAATCAATTAGAAATTATAAGTTGAGGGTATAACAGAAAGAAGAGACATATATTACTTCTGGTTAAAAGAAGTATACTCTGAAATTTTAAGTTATTTTTAAAATACTGTAATTGAAAATTTTAAATATAAATAGCAGTAGTATCTAACCTCGTTTTCGCCCGCGGCCACCGCTAGTCGACGTGAGTTGAACGGCGTCATTAGCGGAGTCATAGCCGTTGTCCACGGCTGCTTTAGCCGGTGGTTCATTATCGGCTGTAGCATCGGCTGGATGCTCGTATTGCGACAAGTTATTCAAACTAACGCTCTTCCTCAGGGGGTCCACCCTCACTCTCACTCCAAACAGCATTATCTCTGCCGAACTTTCTTCACCGCCGCCCACGACGGAGGCAGACGACGACGGCTCATTGGACGCGCGCGATTCCTGACCGTCGCTTCCACAGTTGTTCAAGCTACAGCAACTGATCATTTCTCAAACCAAACAAATCTCTGTCAATGAGCAGAAAACCACCGATCAGTTTAGCGCTGTATGGTTGGGATTTCAAATTTCAATAAATAATGGGAAGAGGAATTTTGGCCTTTTTTTGTGGTGGGCCACTCGTCCCGGCTAGTGGCGGGTTATCCGAATCTTTGAAACGGAGTATTTTTATCCTTCCATTACGATATATTCTGTATACACTAAAATGAAAAGGGCAAAAGGCATATTTAAAGTGTGAATTCGAGATTCTACCAAAAAAGGTGTGAATTCGAGATTGTGTGCCTTTACTAACGTATCTAGTCATTATTAGTTTTTATTTGGAGCATTATTCAAGTATATATTTCACGTCTGTTATAGAAAAAGTATATATCACGGCTCTTGATAAACAAAAATGTTCACACCGGATATAATTAATAGAAATTGTCCAATATAGCAGTAAATATAAACATAATTGCACAAATAAGAGTAAAATTTAAAACTTTCTTCGATAGGAGTAAACATTAATTTTGAGCTAGGGGAAAAAGTTATTGTAACTAGCAGTAGTACAATAAAAGTCATAATTTTAATGTGGTGAACATTAATTTTGAGCAGTAGTATCTAACCTAGTTAATTTATGACTTATTCGATAATAATAATTTATTTATTTATTTATTTTTCAAAAAATAAAAAAATATAATTTTTTATAAAAAAAATAAAAAACTCAAAAAAATAATATAAAATTCAGTGCCGCCTCTGCCACCTCAGCACCACCACCTCCAGTCACCAGGGGAAAAAATGCCAATTTCATTACGAATGCCATATTTATGGCAGAAAACAATGAAAATGTTGGCATTCGCAAAGAGAAATATGTCATGTTTTTGGCATTTTCAGAAAAAAGGCGGTTTTTAGGAAAAATGGAATTTTTTTCACCGTCCGGAGGTGGTAGTGCAGGGAAGTAGTACAAGCGGTGGGAAAGTTGTTGGGGCTTGGGTAGGGGTATACTTGTCCAAACAATAAAGTTACTCCTGTTCAAAACATGGTACTCCTATTTTTGCATTTTGCCTATGTTTTGCTTCTATTTGGAGAATTCTCTCTATAATTAACTCTAAATGAAATTGAAAATATTTGTTAATTTATGGTTAATCTGTAACTTTTAATTAATGCATTGTAAATGAAATTGGAAAAATAGCTTTAGAACTCCAAATTATCTTTCCAACGAGATATAATACGTTCTACACTGAAAAACACACAGCAAGATATGATCGTCACAAATATTTCGCCTTATCTCTGTGATTTAACGTTTTCAGCGTAAATTTAGCACTTTTAGCGTAAATACAGTCTGGTTTTAGTAATTACGCAATCATCCCTTTATATTTTGAAAACGAAACCTGAATACAAGTTTTAGAACTCGATAATATCTTTCCAACGAGATATTAAACGCTTTCAACGGAACAAAATAGAGCAAGATATGATCGGATCAAATTTTACACGAGTTCATTGTGAAATCAGAAATATTTGTTAATGTATGGTTAATTTGTAACTTTTAATTAATGAATTGTAAATGAAATTAGAAAAATAGCTTTAGAACTCCAAATTATCTTTCCAATGAGATATAATAAGGTCTAAATGGAAGAACACACATCAAGATATGATCATCACAAATACTTAGCCTTATCTATGTGATTTAGCGTTTTCAGCGTAAATAAGCACTTTTAGCGTAGATACAGTCTTGTTTCAGTAATTACGCAATCATCCCTTGATATTTTGAAACCGGAACCTGAAGACAAATTTTAGAAATCGATAAGATCTTTCCAACGAGATAATAAACGCTTTCAACGGAACAAAATAGAGCAAGATATGATCGGATCAAATTTTACACGAGTTCATTGTGAAATCAGAAATATTTGTTAATTTATGGTTAATCTGTAACTTTTAACTAATGCATTTTAAATGAAATTGGAAAAATAGCTTTAGAACTCTAAATTATCTTTCCAACGAGATATAATACGCTCAAAAAGGAAGAACACACAACAACATATGATCGTCAAAAATACTTAGCCTTATCTCTATGATTTAGCATTTTCAGCGTAAATATAACACTTTTAGCGTAAATACAGTCTTGTTTTAGTAATTACGCAATCATCCCTTGATATTTTGAAACCGGCACCTGAAGACAAGTTTTAGAAATTGATGAGATCTTTCCAATGAGATATTAAACGCTTTCAACGGAACAAAAAAGAGCAAGATATGATCGGATCAAACTTTACACGAGTTCATTGTGAAATCAGAAATATTTGTTAATGTATGGTTAATCTGTAACTTTTAATTAATGCAATGTAAATGAAATTGGAAATATAGATTTAGAACTCCAAATTATCTTTCCAACGAGATATAATATGCTCTAAACAGAAGAACACGAATCAAGATATGATCATCACAGATATTTAGCCTTATCTCTGTGATTTAGCGTTTTCAGCGTAAATATAGCACTTTTAGCGTAAATATAGTTTTCTTTTAGTAATTACACAATCATGCCTTGATATTTTGAAACCGGCACCTGAAGACAAATTTTAAAAATCCATAAGATCTTTCCAACGAGATATTAAACGCTTTCAACGGAACAAAATAGAGCAAGATATGATCGGATCAAACTTTACACGAGTTCATTGTGAAATCAGAAATATTTGTTATTTTATGGTTAATCTGTAACTTTTAATCAATGCATTGTAAATGAAATTGGGAAAATAGCTTTACAACTCTAAATTATCTTTCCGACGAGATATAATACGCTCTAAACCGAAGAACACACAGCAAGATATGATTGTCACACATACTTAGCCTTATTTCTGTGATTTAGCGTTTTCAGCGTAAATATAGCACTTTTAGCGTAAATACAGTCTTGTTTTAGTAATTACGCAATCATCCCTTGATATTTTGAAAACGACACCTGAATACAAGTTTTAGAACTCGATAATATCTTTCCAACGAGATATTAAACGCTTTCAACGGAACAAAATAGAGCAAGATATGATCGGATCAAATTTTACACGAGTTAATTGTGAAATCAGAAATGTTTGTTAATTTATGGTTAATCTATAACTTTTAATTAATGCATTATAAATGAAATTGGAAAAATAGCTTTAGAACTCCAAATTATCTTTCCAACGAGATATAATACGCTCTAAACGGATGAACACACAGCAAGATATGATCGTCACAAATACTTAGCATTATCTCTGTGATTTATCGTTTTCAGCATAAATATAGCACTTTTAGCGTAAATACAGTCTTGTTTCTGTAATTACGCAATCATCCCTTGATATTTTGAAACCGGCACCTCAAGACAAGTTTTAGAAATCGATAAGATCTTTCCAACTAGATATTAAACGCTTTCAACGGAACAAAATAGAGCAAGATATGATCGGATCAAATTTTACACGAGTTCATTGTGAAATCAGAAATATTTGTTAATTTATGGTTAATCTGTAACTTTTAATTAATGCATTGTAAATGAAATTGGAAAAATAGCTTTAGAACTCAAAATTATATTTCCAACGAGATATAATACGCTCAAAAAGGAAGAACACACAACAACATATGATCGTCAAAACTACTTAGCCTTATCTCTATGATTTAGCGTTTTCAGCGTAAATATAACACTTTTAGCGTAAATACAGTCTTGTTTTAGTAATTACGCAATCATCCCTTGATATTTTGAAACCAGCACCTGAAGACAAGTTTTAGAAATTGATGAGATCTTTCCAATGAGATATTAAACGCTTTCAACGGAACAAAAAAGAGCAAGATATGATTGGATCAAACTTTACACGAGTTCATTGTGAAATCAGAAATATTTGTTAATTTATGGTTAATCTGTAACTTTTAATTAACGCAATGTAAATGAAATTGGAAAAATAGATTTAGAACTCCAAATTATCTTTCCAACGAGATATAATATGCTCTAAACAGAAGAACACGAATCAAGATATGATCATCACAGATACTTAGCCTTATCCCTGTGATTTAGCGTTTTCAGCGTAAATATAGCACTTTTAGCGTAAATATAGTCTTGTTTTAGTAATTACACAACCATCCCTTGATATTTTGAAACCGGAACCTGAACACAAATTTTAGAAATCCATAAGATCTTTCCAACGAGATATAAAACGCTTTCAACGGAACAAAATAGAACAAGATATGATCGGATCAAACTTTACACGAGTTCGTTGTGAAATCAGAAATATTTGTTATTTTATGGTTAATCTGTAACTTTTAATTAATGCATTGTAAATGAAATTGGGAAAATAGCTTTACAACTCTAAATTATCTTTCCGACGAGATATAATACGCTCTAAACGGAAGAACACACAGCAAGATATGATTGTCACACATACTTAGCCTTATCTCTGTGATTTATCGTTTTAAGCGTAGATATAGCACTTTTAGCGTAAATATAGTCTTGTTTTAGTAAGTACGCAATCATACCTTGACATTTTGAAACTGGCACCCGAAGACAAGTTTTAGAGCTCGATAAGATCTTTCCAACGAGGTATTAAACGCTTTCAACGGAACAAAATAGAGCAAGATATGATCGGATCAAATTTTACACGAGTTAATTGTAAAATCAGAAATATTTGTTAATTTATGGTTAATCTATAACTTTGAATTAATGCATTGTAAATGAAATTTGAAAAATAGCTTTCGGAATTCCAAATTATCTTTTCAACGAGATATAATACGCTCTAAACGGAAGAACACACAGCAAGATATGATCGTCACAAATACTTAGCTTTATCTCTGTGATTTATCATTTTCAGCGTAAATATAGCACTTTTAGCGTAAATATAGTCTTGTTTTAGTAATTACGCAATCATCCCTAGATATTTTGAAACCGGCACCTGAAGGCAAGTTTTAGAACTTGATAAAATGGGTTGGTGGGTGTCGTCCAATGGATGACCGACCATCCACCCCCAAGTCTCTCCTTTGTGGGAGGTCTTGGGTTCAATTCGCACCAAGTGGAGATGAGGGGGGTCTTCCTACCTTCACGGAGTTGTTCAGTGGCTGAGA